TTTGTTTGTTTGTTTGTTTGTTTGTTTGTTTGACAGTAAGGATAATGGTTGTCAATTAACCATTGAGATTTTGACACACCTTGGTTAAGAATGAGCAGTGAAGACAATGGCAAAAACACTCATGTTGAATAGACTTCAGTCAACTGCAACATTCGTCAAAATAAGAAATTACAAACACTTACTACTCTTGAGGTCAATCAGAAATGTTCGGTTGAGATGTTTATGGAAAACCAGAGCAGCATGAACACGAGAACATGATGTGTGTTCCAATGTGAAATCACAAGCTTCCTTGTTTCTTCCAAACAAGTAGTACGACTTCTGATCAATGATCATTTTCTATGTCAAAAACAAGAATTGTTGTGCATTAAAATACAGTCAAACCTCCTGTAAGCGACCACCCAAAATGTCAAGTCTTGGTGGTCACTTATGGGAGGTGGTCATTTACAAGAGCTTAGACAACATTGGGTCAAAATTTTGCCTCATTAGCTTAAGGTAACTGCAGAGATTCACCCCTGTTTTAAATGCTTTATTCATGTGAAAAGTCAATTCGAAAAAGATCTGGTACTTCCCACTGAGATATTCCATCTCTTGTGCAACCCAAGAATGTGATGTTGTGACACCTTATTATCCAATTTTAACTCTATTATCTGTGAAGTGGTCGGTTACAGGAGGTTAAAAACAACAGAAAAGTTCAAACTTTAAGCTCTAAAAGAGGTTGCAATCACTTACGAGAGGTGGTCATTTATAGGAGATTCCAAATATAGTGATTTGACCTGTAAATGTTTGCTATTTTGGAAAACTGGTCACTGAGGAGAGGTGGTTGCTTACGAGAGGTGGTTGCTTACGAGAGGTGGTCACAACCAGAGGTTTGACTGCATGCATACGTGTAGTCTTACGTCAGTTTCTATGCCATGATTTCCCAGTTAAACTTGGTATTATTATAAGCCTATGGAATATTACTTAACATGTTACAAGATGCTCTTTAAAGGCAGGGGTTAAAAAGACATGCATTTATCATTGATATCACACTATGATGCCATATCATCAATACTTCCAAAGTTGTCTGCAACTACCTATCATTTACAATTTTTTTTAACAGAAATAGAAGTAATGCTAAATATGCTTCAATACAAGCCACAAACACATATAATTTAAGTAAAGATTCTAATGCCAGCAATATATTAAATAGAGAAAACAAGGTTTTCCTTTTCTTCACACATATGTGCACAAACACAAGATCACTTGCATTGCTCCTATGCAAGTGATGTGTAGATTGAACTGAATCTGTTTGAGGAGTAATAACATCCACTTGTACTCAAAGCCAGATGCCTAAACCTCACCCACTGTTAATATAGCACAAACTTTGCTGTACAAACAACTCTAATGTTGGCACAGTCTGTTCTAGTGCAATGTATTAAATTATTCTGCAATTAATTGTTCAAAAGGGTTTCTTAGTATGATTCTTTTGGTCTTATTATCTAGGAGATTATAATCAGAAGCAATTTTGCAATTTGGGAGGATGCTACTTCTAAGCTGTGTACAAGAATATCACCAGTGTGCAAAGAAAGTCCTGCTCGATAGGGATTATGGATCTTCCAGCTGGGCTAGTAGATTCTGTCTGTAATTAACTTGCCAGATGAGCAAGCACAATTTCTTGGGAAATTTTTGAGGAAATATAAATAAGAGAGGTACTGTAAGAGATGAAATTTTTAGGGGGCTTGTGAGAATGACTTTTGAGATAGTCATCATAGTTAGAACTTGCCAGAAGGGCAAGCCCTGACCACATGATAAAACCCTAAAAACATAATATTAAAAACCCAAGTCGTACGTGCCTTACATCAACATTATAACTGCAACGACAAAGAATACAAATCAAGCTCTCAATTAAGAGGATTAAAATAATTAAATAATTTTTAAAGATAAATTTAGATATCTAAGGTTTGGCGTGATCATTTCAAATCACATGCTACTTGTTTTGATCAAGCTCACCTCAACTAAATTATTCTGTTTCATGACATCTAAGTGAAGTCCCTGCGGCGGTTTACCTGCCCTGGAGAAAAATCACCTCTCCTTGAGCTACGACACCAAATAAAAGATCAGGAAATCCACAAGATCTTACCAACTAGGAACATCAAATGGAGGATTGTTCGCGGCAGAAGTCTTGTTAGCCGCCATCTTGGCACGCTTTGTCTCCTGATGGACTGGTACCAAGTTATTCTGGCTTATCCCGGATGATTAAATTCCCGTGCTGCTTTGGTGCGCCACTTTATGTTTTCCCGCCATCATCTAATTCTCTGGTTGAATCTTTGAGTGTTTTATTTCAATAATTTTAGCATTCGAAAGAAAATGAGAGATTCTCACCGCCTTTTTCTTCGAAGTCTTATGTCTAAGCAGTTCCTTTCTGAAAAGGAAACAAAAGCCCTGTATCAGAAGGCGTGTCGGGTATTTGGAGGTAAGTCAAAACGCTTGTATGTGACGTCGAACCTTCACTCTCAAACTTGTAAGCTTATGATAATCGAGCGTTTCTTTTAACATAATTTCAGATGACAGCTCTCCAGAGAACTTCGAAACGTTCTTGGAAACTGTAAACAGAAATTTGAAGCCACTTTACATGGAGATAAGGCGTGGGGTTTCTGAAGAAGATGGGTCTAATAATTATGGATTGGTATGGAAAATTTGGAATGCAAAGTTAATCAGAAAAAAGTCAGGATTTCAAACTAGTACATCCTCATTATGTTTTATCTCGCTTTATATAGTATGGCAAATTATTCTCACATTTATTTTTGATTGGTTCTTACTAATGATCAATTAGAGGACAGATGCGTGGATGACGTCATTTGACATTTTTGTGTCTCTTCATATGAAACAAATGTGTACATGTAGTTCCAGAAAATATCCATACCTCCCCTGTGGAAGGATTTTTTTCTAAGACCCCTGCCCTCCTACCCTTCTGGAAATCCCTATTCAGCTTTGTACATTTCTTTGTTTTGATCTTAGAGGACCCTCCACCCCCAGAAATTCTAATCCCTCTATTGGCGGGGGGGGGGGGGGGGGGGGGG